TTAAATAGCACCTGTTTGATTCTTAAACATTCTAAAATTTCAGAATAACTAATCACATGGAAGAGACAGGTAAACCCAGATGCCTTACACATAGGTAATATTGTATTGAATAATTGTATTGAAATATTGTATTGACTAATCCTTGAAGGACTGGGCTTTCTCTGTCAGCAGAAGGTTGCACATAGCCCTTCCAGACCTCCTCCCACCTTCACCATCCATGAGCTCTTAATTCAGATTAACAGACACTCAAAGGAGAGGAAAAGGGGAAGACAGAAGAAAGGAACCCATGGGAAATTGCCCCAGTTATTCAGATGGTGCCTTCCTAGAGGTGCATACATCTAAAATGACTCTCTCTGTCACACTCCTTGCTCTGCTTCACTTTTCTTCAGAGTACCTGTCATCTTCTGTCACAGTGATTGTGTTTCTCTCATCTACTAGTGTAGAACTTGTGAGCAAACTTGTCACTTTTGGTCACCATTTCCGCAGTGCTTGGCACATAGCTGGGCTCTTAAAATCAGGAAGGCAGAGGAGTCCAAAAAGCCCCATCTTTCAGCTGTTGAGGTTACAGACGGTCCTTGACTTGGATGCTTCAGCTTTCCATTTTTCCTATTTTATGATGGTACAAAAGCAACACCTATTTGGTAGAAAGTGTATTTTGAATTCTGATCTTTTCCTAGGCTAGGGATATATGATATGATGCTCTCTCACATTCTGGTCAGCAGCAACAGCGAGCCACTGTGCCAGTCAACACATGGGCACAAGGGGAAGCAGCCAATACTTTACATTCCACTGTATTGCTAAGCTAATCATGTTCAGTGGGGTAGGAGTATTAAATGCATTTTCAACTTACGATATTTTCAGTGTAATGATGGATTTATTGGGACACAACCCCATCATAAATCAAAGAACATCTGTACGTATATTGCTCTAAGAAGCTCCAAGACTCCCAGGATTTTGTGGCCTTTTCCTCCCTTTCTTGGCAGATGAGAACCAGGGAGGGACCACAAGAGGTGATGACCGCATTCTCCAGCCTCCTTCCCACAAAGGCATTTCTGTGTGCACCCCTCCCCCCCAAGGCCTGCAGAGGCTTCCAGATGGGAGTCCTGGGGAGCCTCAGAGCCTGTTAGTTTGTTGTGAGGCTTTCGGGCACCTTAAGAAGTTATTTCAGGAACTGAGCAGGGAACATTGGGGAGGTGAGGGTGATTCAATTGAGGAAGGCCAGCAGCAGCTTTTGGGAGGCAAGGTCAGGCCCCAGGAGCCCAAAGGATCCTTTGAAGCCCTTGAAGCTGGGAAGATAAGCCAGCAGTGGGAAGCCTTGCTCAACAGTTCAATTTTTTTTTAAAGCATTTTCACAAAATGTTCTGCATCGTAGGTTAATGTATAAGACTCGAGCTGTAAGTGGAAAGTTGGCAAAGTCCTTTGGAAATTGGCTAAAGGGCAGGAAACAAAGGGTAGCAGTAAAAACTTAAAAGGATGTTAATTGAGGAGTGCCTCAGGGAATGGGGTTGCTAGTAGCTTTTTATTATTTACATAAAAATTACATGGAGAATGGTATTGAAAGGGATTTTCAGTTAGCTAATGAAACTGCATTAGTGCACTGTGAGTGGAAATGTGAATAGAATTAGGGAAGGATTCCATTTGTTGATGGAATTGGAGAGTACCATTTTCTAACATGTTTGTATGTATGAACTCGCGCGGTCATCATTCTTTTTGGCCAGATTTCCATTTCAGTACTGGGCAGGACAATTTCTGCTTCAGTGACTCAACCTGTCATATTTCTTGGGTCAGTAGAAAGCATTTCAAAGAGAATATGTCCCCCTGCTCTCAGGGCAGATCTTGAAATTGAATGGATGTTATCTTCCGACCCGACATCATCCCTCTTAGAAGAGCTAGAAAGCAAATGAAATCTCCCATTTAACTACATGTATGAGGTTGGACCATCTGACATCCGTATCTCCCCATCTTCCATTACTAAATATTTTCTATTCAGTGGAGCTCAAATTATCACAGAAATTAGCTTTAGATATGTACCCCAATATTAAACTGTCTCTTCTAAGTTGATGCATACTGGAAATAACACCGTGAGCCAGGACATAAAGTTGGAAGCCAGGAGTGACATTTGCTGCCCTTTCTATAGCCTGCTCTATGGAACAGTCTATATGGCATCAGAGTCCACACGGCCCTTGATTTCCTCAATAAACCTGGCCTATTAGGGATCTTCTTTGCTACTCAAAGTGTGGTCCATGGACCTGCATGCAACTTGGGCGTCATCTGGGAGAACTGCAGACTCTTTGAGCCTCACCCCAGAAATGAATTTGAATCTGCACGTTAACAGGACTCCCGCTGATTGCTTTGAGAAGCACTGCTTTCCACTCTGCAATCTATAGAAAATAAAGCAAAGGTGAGGGTCAAAAATCAGACGTTACTGATGACTTGAGGGTACAGTTCTGGCACTTGACAACATTCTATCTGGTAAAAACTTAAGTTTCTTCTTCCTGGTTTGTTGCTTTTTTTAATTTTAATTTTATTGGTACATTTTAGGTATACAATATAATGACATTCGTCATTGGAAATTTGCACCTTTACATAATCTCTCTTGGTTCTTATTTTTTTCCTCATTCCCCTGCCCTCACTTCAACCCCTCCATCCTTCCCTATTTATAAAGACTTTGTTTTCATTTTCTCATATTAATTGCATTCCCTTCTTTCCTTTCCTCTACCCCTCCCACTTCTCCTTCCCCTTTGCCCCTTTTCTTCCTATTTCACATTATCTCTTAGACCTTTTAGTCCTTATTTACACTTTCAGTTTCTCACACTAGAGAAACTGTTCAGTATTTACACATGCTGGCAGAGCTGTGGTGAAAGTGGAACACTGCTCCACTGCTGATGGAAGTGCAGACTGGTGCAAGCACTGTGGAAATCAGTACGGAGATACCTCAAAGAACTAGGACTAGAGGTCCTATTTGACCCAGCTATTCCCCTGCTGGGTATCTTCCCCAAAGAGTTAAAAGAATCATACCACAGCGATATATGTGCACCCATGTTCATAGCAGCACAATTTATAATAGCTAAAACTTGGAAGCAGCCCAATTGCCCATCAACTGGAGTTGGGATAAAGCAAATGTGTGTATGTTTTTTTAAATAAAATGCAGTACTACTCAGCCATAAAAAATGAGAAATTGGAGACATTTATAGCTAAATGGATGCACATTGAGGTGATACTCTTGTTGTTTTGTTTTGTTTCCTCCATGCCTTCTGCAGAGTGTAAGCTTAGCCCTTAGTGAGCATGTCTTTTAAGATGTTAAGAGCCAGGACACTGTATGCACCCAGTGCTTTTCACAGGGGTGTGGACCCTGTGCTGGGCCCTTAGCTAATTGTTTCCATCTAGCCTACAGGCCACAGAAGCCTGCAAGCTGGTAACTGTTTCCTTTGAGCTCCTTTACTAAGCTTCCACAGGTAGGCATTTTTTGCTTTCTACCTCTGTTAACATAGAGGACCAGCCCCACCCAGAGCATCACTGGCATGGGCAAACCTTTCTAAAACAAAAGACTTGGTTTTCAGTCACCTGGATTTGAACACTCAGTAGGCCTTTTAGAATTCTGGGTCTTTAGATCTGACTGTGATGGGACACACAGGCAACAGTTTATGCTATGTCCTCTTTCCTCTCCCCACAGCAATATGTGGCTTTCACTCAGTTTTGTTTCCTGAAAATAGGAGCAGTGGTGGCGAACCTATGGCTCATGTGTCATAGTGGGGTGTTATCACTGAAAGCTCTGAAAGGGCTGGGGATTTAGCTCAGTGGTTCCACCGCCTGCCTTGCAAGCGCTAGGGCCCAAGTTCGATCCCAGTACCAAAAAAGAAAAGAAAGAAAGCTCTGAAAGGTTAGCCATCACAGGGAGGAATGGGGGTTGAAAGACATTGATTAAATTGACCTGCTTTTGTTCATGACATGAGCTCAGTTCATGAAGTAGTGTAGGCAGGGTCTGATTCTGCCTGATTAGGAAAGAATACCAGTGAAATCCCAAACTCCACTCCTCCCAACCCCCACCAACCCCACCAGAGTGGGGTGAACATAGAATTGTGACCTAACCCAAAATTACGCTTGATTTTTCTTACTAGTTTGCCAGGGCCGCTCTATTTTTTTTTTTTTTTTTAAGAGCTTGGGTAGATGCTGAAATGCCCAAGTCATTCAAGAAAATAGAAGTGAGGAATGACTTAGTTTGTCCAGACAAGGTTACATTTTGGAGATTCTGACTGAGCATGTTTCTTTTCTACCAACCTCGATTGGGACTCATCAAACCCGAGTGTAGTGTCAGAGCCCTATCCTTACGAGGGAGGAGTCTGACCCTGTTGCCTCAGAGCAAGTAAGGCAAGAAGACTTTCAAATGAATGCATTAAATAAAGAATGTCTCCTTAGTCCTAGACTTACGGAGCATTTACTAAAGATTCTAAATTGGCTTTATCTCCACTACAGACTAAGAACTCCTCTGAAGCAGGGAAATCTATTATTTATCTTTTATTTATAGCACCTGGCACAAGGTAGGCCCTTAATAAATGTTTTCTGAATAAATACGCAAAGACCAGGAAGCAAGGCCCTTCCTGATGTTCTGAGTAGCACAATATCCACTTGCTAGTCATCATTCCACCTATATGGCAAGCATTACATTTTCAATTAATTTTTTTCTCATCAATTATTAAGCCCAATTCTTCAGTTCATTTACAGTTGTGTATTGGGTCCATATGTTTGTACAGCACGTTTCTGAAAGGGACTACCCTTGATCATAAAGCTGGCTGTGTAATCAAGTACCTTATACCTGAAAACCACCAGAATCAGGAGTCAGTTTGTTAGGAACAAAAAAAATTTTGTACTCCCAATTTCTTTTTTTTTTTTTTTTTGATACCAGGGATCGAACTCAGGTCCTTGCGCTTGTGCAGCAGGCGGCGAAACCCCGGCCCATGTGCTCCCAATTTCTTAAGTCATAGTTTTCCTGTTCTTTTCAGGTAAGAGTCTATGATCTCTACAAATATGATCACGGAGCAGATGATGTGCTGATCTTGGCCACAGATGGACTTTGGGATGTTCTATCAAATGAAGAAGTAGCAGAAGCAGTCACTCAGTTTCTTCCTAACTGTGATCCAGATGATCCTCACAGGTTTGTGCATTTCTACAACTGTGGGGTTGATCCTTGTGTTGCATGATATGACTGAGACAAATAGCAATCATTCAGTTTCATGGGTTATAGTAGAGGCTGGCATGATAGTTCATCAGTCACACAGCAGAAGGGAATACATATTTTAGCCAACAAAAGTCCTTCAATTGAGCCAAGATAGAAGTGGTAAATAATTTGATTTGTTCGTTAATTTAAAAGCATATCTTTCTCACATTCTTATTTCATACCCTGTAGTATTTGGTCCTGCTGACAAGAATAATGACAAATTCTTCTAAGCTTTGATTTCCATCCAGTAGGGGATTGTTTCTTTTGAGAATATGGGGGAAAGGAGAATGACTAAAATAGGTTTTCCTTTATAATATAAAGGCAGTGTAAGGATCTTAACCCTAGAAGACTCTCAAAATTAGGGGGCCAGGGATTTAGCTCAGTGGTTCTGCCGCCTGCCTCGCAAGCTCAAGGTCCTGAGTTTGTGATCCCCGGTACAAAAAAAAATTAAATAGAAATCACCTCTGGGGAAAGGCAGCTTTAACTAAAACATAAACAAGTTACCATACATAGGAGCCAACAGAAGTAGCTGAGACAACAGTTGAATCTGTAAATATTTCCTTATTGGATTTAGAAAATTAACATGTTTTCTAAATTTTTAATAAATATTGAAAATATGGGCCAGGATAAGAGACTACAAAATGACCAACCATATTTTTAAGATAAGGAAATGAAACTTGTAATGATGAAAAATATAAAAATGAGAATTCTAATAGGAATTTAAAATTCAGTGGGTAAAACACATTAGAGACAGTTAAAGAGAACATTGGTGGACTAGAAAATCAATCCAAATAAATAATGCAGACATGGCTCAGAAAGACAGAAGAGATAATGTAAAGTGAGACTAAGAGACTAAGCAGATCATCTAAGATGTTCTCCATAGAAATTCAAAAGGAAATCGTATAGAAGATGGAAAGAAAAAAATTTGGATTCTTTATTAATACTAAACGTAAGATCCAGAAAGCCCAAATAATCTTAGCCAGAAGGAATAAAAAAGAAAATTGTAAATAGGTATTTCTTAATGAAACTGAAGAACTTTAAGCCCTACTTACACAAAAAGATGTTAAAAACAGCCAGAGAGAAAAAACAACAAGATACATAGGAATATCATTTAGAATCTGACAGCTAGCTTTTTTGTTTTTTGGTTTTTGTGGGGGTACTAGGGATCAAACTCAGGTCCTTCCATTTGCAAGGCCAGCACCGGAACCACTGAGCCAAATCCCTGGGCCCTAGCTAGCTTTTTAAAAGGCAGCAACAGGGCCAGGGATTTAGCTCAGTTGTTCCAGCACTGGCCTCGCAAGCGAAAGGTTCCGAGTTTGAGCCCCAGTACCAAAAAAATAAATAAAAATAAAAGAAAGAAAAGCAGCAATAGGAGCCAAAAGACAATGGAATTATATCATCAGTTGGCTAAGAAAAAACATAGCTGCTTAACCTGGAAGTTTTTCATGTGTAATTAAATTATCAATAAACAGGGTGAAGTAAAGACATTTCTAATAGCTGAGGATGTGGTTCAGTGATAGAGTGTTTGCCTAGCATATGTAAGACCCTGGGTTCAATCCCCAATACCACCAAAAAAAGAAAGTTTTCAGACAAAACAGAAATTGAGAAATTTTACTACAATCCAATCTTTTCTGAAGAAAATTCTAAAGGATATGCTCACATAAGAAAGGCAAATGGTTGCAGATAGAAGGTCTGAGAAGAAAGATTATTAAGCAAAGTATTAGTAAATATGTGAGTATATATAAACATACATTGACTGTGTAAAATGGTAAAAAGAATATCTAACATGTGGGGCTAAAAATGATAGAACTAAATTACTGAACAAAATTAGCTTACAAATTAGCAAAGAGAGGTAGGAATCAGCTATGTGCTGTGGTTATTTTTGAGAAGTGGTGAAAGATATTTAACTTTAGACCTTAAACAAATTTAATGGCTATGTAAACTATAAATTAATACAAAGTATAATTTACAAATTAGTAGAGAAGGAGAAACCCACATAGAATAAAAGCCAAGCTTCTGAACAACCTATAAATCAACAGTAAAAATTAATTCAATAATGGGATCTAATATAAGAAGTTAAACAGTTGGCCAGGGATTTAACTCAGTGGTTCCACTGCCTGCTTTGCAAGCACAAGGTCTCGAATTCGATACCCGGTGCCAAAAAAAAAAAACAAAGTCAAACAGTTGAGTAAACCTGGGGAAAGGGATGGAAGGAAAAAATAAAGACAAACAAGTGAATAAATACACAATAAAGACAAAGTGTAAAGCTAACATTTGATTCTTTAAAACAACTAACACATTATAAAGCTGAGTCAGAATTCTCACAAGTGAAATAAGGTCACAAAAGGACAAATATTGTATGATTCTACTTACACGAGGTCCTAGAGTAGTCAAGTTCATAGAGAAAGACAGTAGAATGGAGGCTTAGTGTTCCATAGGTAACAAATTTCAATTGGAAAAGGTGAGAAAATACTAGAGATGGGTGGAGGTGATAGTTGCACAATATGAGTGTACTTAATGCCATAGAAACATGCAGTTTAAATATAAATTTAAAATAATATGGTAAATTTTATATTATGTATGTTTTATCACAATACAAAAAAATTTTAAAAGCAATAAAAATGAAGTACATAAATTTTCTGGAAGATAAAAGTAGCAGAACACAATATTAGGAATACAAAATAGTTAATAAATTAGATGGAGCAATCAAAATATTAACACATAATACATGTAATATGAATATTATATTTCTTTAATTAGAACATTATAAAGATTCATGCTGGGCATGGTGACACACAATTCAAGAGGATAACAAGTTTCAGGCCAGCCTGTGCTACATAGCAAGTTCAAGACCAGCCTGGGCAACATAGTGAGACCCTATCTCAACAGATACTGATTGACCCCAAATACTAGTGGAGTTCTCATGGAACTTGACAAACTGATTGTAATTGCATATGAAAGAAAATATGAATGAAAGCCTGTAACATTTCAGTAGGGAGATACAGGTCTTGCTCTATTAGATATTAAGATTAAGGTACAATAACTAAGACAGTAGAAAAAATTTTAATTCCTTACCTCATAAAATTAACCAAAATCAAATCCAGGTAAAGTAAGACAAAGGTAAAAGGCAAAAATAAATACAAATTTTGGAAAATAGCATAGGCCGCTGCACACAGGAAGGTCTGTGCATGCCCTGCCGAGGTCCTGAGTCACACGGAAGACACCAAATCACCCCACTGCAGACAGGCAGCCACCTGGTTCCACACTACAAAGATGCAGAGGACACCAGACCACCAGACCAAGGTACTGAGTCCCGCTGTTC